AAAAAAAAGGCTGCAAACAAACCCCACACTTGTCAGAAGTTGCATCCTTGTCTTCAGGTACATGATTGTCTGATAATGACAATGAGCAAACCTAATACTCAAACTCAAACCCAAAACTCACCTCCAATGACTTTTCCTTATGCAATAACTTTTGAACAAACTGTAAAACATTCAGCTTGTTAATCACCAGGGCATCAAACACCGCATTCAAACCCTAAACAACGGAGAGAAAAGTAAGAGCATAAATTGGACGGCTAATGCCAAATATTTTTAAATGTGCCTTTAATTCCACCTCTACAAACTGTTATCATATACCTTAATTTTGATTAAAACAAAACAACAAACAAAAACAGATACACGCTTCCATAATAATGAGGGTAGAATTACTGCTAGGTAGAAAATTAAGAGCCTGAGCTGGAAGTAGAACAGTCCCAGGTTTCCCTAATGAGGATTCTTCTACTACATGCAGTAACACATTGGGGAACAACCTGTACCAGCTAAACCCTGTGCATATGGTTACAGTGTTACCAACCTGATTATCTGGTTCCTGACTTTTTTTCACAAGCGTAGCGTAAACGCTGCAGTCAAAACATGAGGCTTCTGTCAATATAGTAGGTTTTCTGAGCCTTTTATTCATATTTGCTGTGCAGCAGAGTATCTTTTGACTGTTAGGTTTCAAAAACTAAAATTGCAGCAGTCTTTGCTGCAAATAATTCCTCTCTTTGTTTCTTTACCCTTTCTCTTTGTCTCTTTATTCTTTTCAATTAAAGCTATGACTAAGATTTATTTATAAAGATAAACACCTATACTAAAGGTATAAATCACTGATGTAGCATCTCAAGAGGGCTGACCTGGAACAGAATATCTTCACTGAATAAAAAGCAAGAGTGCAACAAACAAGAACAGTAAATACAATGTTCTGTGTATGCAAACACATGTAAAACTAAGTCTGTTACTTAAGTCTAATAAGAGACAGAAGTAAGAGAAAAATATATAAGGAATGAACCCACTTTTACCTATGCTGTTTACAAAAGCAAGAGCACGGAGCTTTTTACAAAAGCAAGAGCATGGAGCTTTTAAAAATGCTCTTCTCTGTTACATCTTCGCTCACAGCCTTCAAAGAGAGTTTGTAGGCCCACTATCTAAATAGGCCTAAGACAATAATTATACATCCAAGAACAAGGTCAAACATCATGTTACACAGTAAAATTAACACTGTAAAGCCTTTAAATTTTGCAAGAAATCAAGCAGTACACACAACCTGCTCACAATAGATAAGATGAGGGATTCCATAAGATATTCTCATAAGATGAGAGAGTCTGGATACAAGAAAGCTCTTCTAGGATACCCCATTTTGTTAACATTAACTAGTTTCCTGAAGAGAACAAAAAGATCTGTTATGCTAGCTAGCTTTGGAGCTAACTCTGGAGAAAACTCAAGATTTGTGGGCTTTCTAATGGCACCCGATAGATCCTATCATCAAAATTCAGTCAATAAAAGGATCCTTACCAGTATTGTAATTCCTTGTTCTTTGCACAGCATGGCTACTGAACCTAGCAGAAAAACCACCAGCACCCAGAATAGGGAAAAATGGTATCCTTCCTTATCTGTCAACATAAAGCACGTCATAGCATTAAGTTTAAAGACACCTCTGCTAGAAACTTCCCTAGAAGACAAAACAAAACAAAACAGAAAATACACAAAGAAATACAGCATTTAATCTCACAATCTTTTCTACCAGTCGAGATCTGGACACAGAGACTTAAAAGTAGACTGCCTTCTGCAGTACGGCGTTTGACCATTTATTGTAGTAATTTTTTATTCTCAGAGACATTAGGAATCTCCCTGTTCGCTAAATGTTTTAGCTAAACTAATCAGATTGGCAGAAGCTTCAGACAACTTCCATAATTCATCATCCACAAAGGTTAAATCCCAATATACACATTTATCATCCTTGGTAGCTACAGCTTTGTCACGACCAGCCACTCTCTTCCAAATTACAACAAGAATGAAAAATCCTTTTTAATGATTATATACAAATGGGTTTAACTGCAGCCTAATTTACAAAGGCACAAAGAACTGCTTCTCCAGGGCTGCAACACTTGGGTACTACCTCATGCCATTTCATTAACACTGCAATGAAATGTCATGGAGCTCAATGATTTCAGCATCCGAGCAGGGAAGCAGTTAATTCTTGCACTCAGAAACATGGTTTTCCAGCAGGGTGAGAAACTCTGAAGTTAAGAGATCAAAAATAACTACATTTTAGTCAAATAAAGTCCTATTGCACTATGTAGCTGACTTTGGATTCCACAACCAGGTAATTCAGAGAGTGATATGACTATAAGGTCTACTTCAGTCAAGACACTGTTGCACAGACAGCACATGGGTACTTCACATAAATACATATCTATCACAGTCTCTCTACTCCACAGGTACAAGCCACATTCAAGCAACATTCTTGACATAGGCTCTGCAGGAATTTTAAGAGTCAATCTTTCACCTGGCATGAGAAAAAACAAAGTTGAACTCTATTCATTGACTGAACCATTTCTTTGATTTCCTCAATCTCTAAAGTAACAGAAGAGAAGGAGATACATTTAATCAGGTACTGAATCACTAAATGTAGCTCTAACATGACTTACTCTACTCACTGACTAAAAAAGGAACATAGTCTGCAAGCCTAGTCGTTGATGCCTACTTCGGACCAGATACACACCCTCATAAGCATGCACAGAACCTGCTGAAGAACCTCCTGTTCTGAAGAACTGAGGCAGTATACTCCAGAATGACAGAGAACAGAATTTTGCATAAAAATATGGAGATCAAAAAGTTTTGAAGTTGCTGCTAGCATCCCTTTATTACCCGAGACTTGAGGCTTCAATAAGGTGAATATTAAGATGTTAAATATTCATCACTGCAAGAAGACCTAGTGTTTCATTTGTTCACTCCATCAACCCCAAAGTATGTCCTCACATATGAGGTTAAGACTTAAGATGAGTGCTGCAGATGCTATAAAGTTAAAAGAAAGCCTTCTGAAAGAGAGAAATCATAGATATCTTAACAGCAAAACATTAAAATACAAAATACAATGGCTAAATGAATTTTAACTGAAATATCACACTCTCCTCAATTATTCAAAAGATGTGAGGGGTTTCAGGGTTGCATGCATGAAACACACGGAGACAGCGGTTTCAATATACTTTAAATGAGCTTTGCTCATAGAAATAAAGAAGAATAAAGGGGAGGTATCTTAAATACCACCCCCCCAAAGGATATCTTTGGCTCTTCACACTCTCCTTGTAGCACTACAGTTTGTCCAGCAAACTCATGAAATTATGTTCATCTTTTAAAGTAGAAGGGAAAGAAAATAAGTAGAGAAATGCTTTCAGTATTTTACAATGGAAAGAAATTACTTGAGAGCACGTCAATCTCTCACATTTGGATGGATGGCAATATAATTGAGAGAGGAATACTTGCCCTGCGTAGAGGAAGATTGGGTCAGAGAGCACCTAAGGAAACTCGATACCCACAAATCCATGGGCCCTGATGGGATGCACCCCAGAGTGCTGCGGGAGCTGGCAGAGGCCATAGCTAAGCCGCTCTCCATCATCTTTGAAAGGTCCTGGAGAACAGGGGAGGTGCCGGAGGACTGGAAGAAGGCCAATATCACGCCGGTCTTCAAAATAGGCAAGAAGGAGGACCCAGGCAACTACAGGCCAGTCAGCCTCACCTCTGTCCCCGGAAAAGTGATGGAACGGCTCATACGGGCCATTGTCGCCAGGCACATGGAGGACAAGAAGGTGCTCAAGAGTAGTCAGCATGGATTCACCAAGGGAAAGTCTTGCTTGACTAACCCGATAGCCTTCTATGATGGAATGACCAGCTGGATAGATGAGGGG